GTGTCTGTTGAAGAGAGAAAGATCAGTGGATGAAACACAAATATTCATCACAGGCTTAGGAATCTTATGAATTTTAGGAGGAGGTGATTTGGGCTTAGTCTCACAGCTGACCTTACAGTGAGGATTGGTACACTTTTCTATGGTATGCCCATAGTCTTTGCAATAATTGCAATACAACGAGGAGTTCTCATTATGGGTACTCACTTTTTCAGGACTAAACCAGGTTGACTTACTAGAAGGTGCCTCAGATGGTACTCTGTGAATAAGACTGTAGGAGTCAGCCAACTGAGCACATCTAGTAAGGTCGGTTTCTTCCTTGTCGGCTAGGTAGAGACGTATGGGATTAGGTACATGCCTTAGGAATTCTTCCACCAGGATGATGTTGACGAGATCTGTAAAGATGGAGACTTGTGCGGCTTCCAGCCACTTCATAAAATATATCTTTTTGTTATTTGCAAACTCTAGATAAGTGGTAGCACTTACTTTAAGGTAATCACTGAACTTACTTCTGTAGGTCTCGATGGAGATGAGGTAGGCATCGAGCACTGCCTGTTTCAGTATCTTTTAGTTGGTTTCAGAAGCCATAGTACTGAGAGTCACGGCAGCTCTACCTGTTAAATGAGATCCGAGAAGCACAGACCACTGATCCTAAGGCCAGCTAAGTTGGGTAGCTAGAGCCTCATATGAAGTAAAAAATACATCTACTTCTGCCTCAACAAAAGAAAGCATCAACTTAATTGTATGTGAAATGTTAAAACGTACCGGAAGAGCAGCTTCTGCTTGCTGGCACCGAGTGTGGTGTATAGTTTCTAAGTCAAGCTATCTTTTACGGTGGTCTAGAACCATTGCGACTTGTTTCTTATCGTGGTCACGTTGTATCTCCAGTTCACGTTCTCTTACTTCGAGCATTTCCTGTTCCCGCTCACGTTGAAGGGCAGCTTCACGTTCTTTAATTTGAACTTCTCACGCTCACATTGAAGGGCAGCTTCTCGTTCTTTCCTCTGGAGAGCTTCCTTCTCACGTTCACGTTCTAGGGCTGCTTGTTCTTTCTGGAGGTGAAGAGCTTCTCTCTGAAGAGCGGCTTCACGTTCCTTCAGTTGAAGTACTTCCTTCATACGTTCGCGTTCGGCGTTAGCGTGCTTTAGCTTCAATTTCATGGCTGCCAAGGCGTTCTTGTCTGCACTTAAGTAATATTCATGAGATTCAGATATAATAACATCATTATTTAATAGATGATCTAATATGAGGTTGTGTAAATCAGTTTTAGTGGCTCCATGTGGGGCCGTAAGGTTGTACTCATTTACTAGAGTCAGTATCTCCGCCTTGGTGGCACGATGTAGTGTGCTCACTTCATCATTTGGATTCTGTCTGAATGTGGAAAGACGAAACATGGTGAATGATAGCAAATATATGCAAGAGAATACCCAAGAGGATGTATCAAAATATGAAATGTCAGAGTGACAGGATGACGTTGCAGCGGTAAACTATCTATCACAAGTTATCCTGTTTAAACTTAAAGTCAAGGTTACAACAATGAACTTTAATAAGTGGTCAAGATAAAAAATGAAACTAAGTGTTTCAAGGACGTAGGGAATCTTGGACCCGGTACTCTATATGACGAGAATAAGGGCAAGAGGGATCCTACTTTAATTGTTAGACAATTGTCTGGAAGGTAGTGCAAAAAATTTAGGGATTTCTTACCTTGTCTCTAAATGATGAGAATAAATGTAAGAGGTTTCCTAGTAAACTAGATAGTACTTACAGAATTAACAATCTTTGTGCTCTGGAAAAGAATGTTAACTCCCTACCTGTGTAAGCAGCATACCTCTGACCGACGAGTAGAGGTGGGAAGTGTCAATTAATGACGAGAACTGCTTGTAGGGGGTCCCAACCTCACAGCATAGTCCATGTGAGAGGCTCTTTGGCCACTCTATATGCTCCTACGTTTGGGTTGCAAAGACGTGGGCATACTTGACCCGGAGACAGACCAAAATACCAGGGGACCAAACTGGGGTGATCTGCCTAAATGAGAAGTCTCCTGTAGGGACGAGAATAATCTGTGGAAATCACAAGTTATAGCAAAGATTATGGAACAACCAATCACGAGTATGACTGTAGCCACAAGACACCACATAATCCAAAGTCATCCAACAATCATATAATGCTACATCTGGAAAGCACAGTATGAAACACCAATAAAATTATTCAAAAATAAGAGTTCTGAAAAGTTAAACTTGTAATAAAGTCAAGTACAGTTACCACAATTTTAAGTGAAGAGTCTAGAAGCATTACCTGAGTGAGGAACCCCGGACAGGCCCCAATTTATGTGATGAGAAAAATGGATGTTAGTGCAGCCTCTCTAGGGCAGATGGAATGCCAGTCATATAAAATTAAAAAACAAACAAAAAAAGGAACGACCGCTATTTGTCTTCACTGTGAGGTAACTGTAGGATAAGACAGAGTGAAAAACATTTAAAAATATTTTACTTAATAAAAATGACGTTAAACAAATTACAAAACAAAACAAAAATGATATCCAAGCTTTGCTTGATACAAAGAGTGCAAATCAAATAAGACAAACAAACAATCAAATTTACATTATGTTAATGTGCAAATACTAAAATGGTGCAGGAATACTGTGAGCCAGACTGCATAAATCTGTTGCCACACTGAGGTATGTCAATAGACCTAGTCAGTAGAGCACTTAGGAGTAATCTGAATCGTGGTGGTGGCTGGCTTCTATTTATATGGGAGCTGGACCAAGGTAGGTGGCTCTGGTGTTCGATAATTCTCGACCGCCTCACACAAACTACCACTGGGCTAGTTTCCTGGCCGGTGACGTGAGCTCCCAGCCACCAGGTGCGATGAGGGTGACGGGCCGTGGTGTAGGGGGGAGGTAGTCCACTGTCTAGACGTTTGTGAGTTGTTGTTGTTGTTCTTGGAGCTGCAGGTCTTGAATAGGTAGACGTGATATGAGAATAGGTGATAATGGAGTAAGCCGAATCTCTTCCTAGAGAGATTACTGTGACAAAATTAATACTAATTGAATGTTGCACTATGTGAGTAATAAATATAATAAATATAACAGCATGGTGAAAACATAGACATTAAAATTTATATTTTTATTGCATAGTTAAGATCTAGTGGAGTCACTAGGTCTCAATTGACATTTCTCCTCCAGGAAAAATTGATTTAATTGTAGATTAATTTTTTTAATAAGTGCACTGAAGCACTTATTCAATAAAAAAAAATAAGTATAAAAAGAGGAAAACAATAATGTCCCAAAATAAATGATGACCAAGAATGTTAAAATTTGACAAAAATAAAGACAAGTAAGGGTGAAATGTATGAAGTTATTCAAAGGTTAAGCTGATAAGAAAAACAACAGAGTTCAGTTGAATCAGATGGTAACACTTGGGACGGGAATAATATAAGCACCGGCACACGTTGACAGTACATAACAAAACAACAGCATAATAAGCAACGTATGTGATAGTCTCAAATAAACAATTCAAAAACTGACAAGCAAGTTGGAAATAAACATGGAATTCTCTATCATGCCTCTTTTAAAATCATATGATACATTGAAGACCAAAATTTTTGAGTGAACTCTGAAAGAAACCCAAAATCTCTTCAACAACATGTAGTAAGCCAAGAATGAGGACACTTGCAAGGTAAATATCTGTTTCGTGTGTTAAAATATCGGCAGAGTTCAACATGTTGAGTTAATAATGATGCAAAATTTCAACATCGATGCCAGCACCACTCTAAGGCACCCCCCCCCCCTCCCTCCGCTTGCTGCAATAAATAAGTTTTATTATCGAGTTTATATTGCAATCTTATTATCACATTCCTAAATTCACATTTATCATATAATAAAATATATGAAAATCTTTAATTTTCTTTAAGTATGCAACATGTAAAACTTTGATTCTCGTATATTGACGTTCAATTAGAAAATTACCACGAAAAGTGTGTCATATACTGCCTTGTAAACAGATCAGATACGATATGAGATTACTGAATTAAAACAAAACGTAATGCACAATTAGGTTATATATGGAAACATGTGGAAAAGATCTGGTCAAAGGTTAATGCCAACTTGAAGTTACAGGCACCCTTACTTGGGCAGCAATTGTTAGCAAACGGCTATTAAAAGCTAAGCAATTATGTTACTAAACTCACGGGAAGGTGTGTCCTAGACTTAGCCTCGGTTAACAAAGATAAACTAAGGATGTGATTAGGAGCAAATTATATGACAACATTTGTAGAGAAATATCTTTATGATAATGTCGGGAGAAGTGATAGGAGCCGTGGACATGATATGGCTACATACAAGCAAAAATTATATACAGGAGAGATTTGCCCTATTTCTCGAGGTGTGTACACAGAGAGTTCACCTTAGTCTTAGACTATGTTCAGGACTAAAGTATACTTGCTGGTTGGTCAGTAAGGTATTGTGCTGGCCTTAATATCCCACAGGAGATCCAAAGACCTTAAGTCATCTCCCCCCTACCCCCTTAAAAAAAACTATCCTGCTATTAATAACTATTTGTTCCTTTCCTTATTAAACAATAACAAACCCCAAATGTCCAGTAAACATTATAACAGTAAGAAAACAACGAGAACTATTATTGAACATCTCTGACTCACGATTACTACAACTTTCTCTGGTGACTGTATTGGAGTACATAACGCCTCACTTCACAATAAAAAAAACCGTCACGAGATGCATGTAACTTCCCCATACACATCATAGTGTGTGTATTTTGAAAGCCCACATACGGCAGTTCGAGTCCAATGTATTACCTCAATATTTTCTCATGTATAACAAGTCTCTACTGTAATGTAACCTGGAAACGTATATATTAACATTAAATCCATTTCACATATCACCAGTTAACTGCTGTCCTGTTTCTCTAATATTGTTAAAAGATTAAGCAAATAGTATGTCACCAGTCTAGTCCCTCATGCCACTCCACACACCAGTCCAGTCCCTCATGCCTCTCCACACACCAGTGCTGTCCCTCATGCCACTCTACACACCAGTGCTGTCCCTCATGCCACTCCACACACCAGTGCTGTCCCTCATGCCACTCTACACACCAGTGCTGTCCCTCATGCCACTCTACACACCAGTGCTGTCCCTCATGCCTCTCCACACACCAGTGCTGTCCCTCATGCCACTCTACACACCAGTGCTGTCCCTCATGCCACTCCACACACCAGTGCTGTCCCTCATGCCTCTCCACACACCAGTGCTGTCCCTCATGCCTCTCCACACACCAGTGCTGTCCCTCATGCCACTCTACACACCAGTGCTGTCCCTCATGCCACTCTACACACCAGTGCTGTCCCTCATGCCACTCCACACACCAGTGCTGTCCCTCATGCCACTCTACACACCAGTGCTGTCCCTCATGCCTCTCCACACACCAGTGCTGTCCCTCATGCCTCTCCACACACCAGTGCTGTCCCTCATGCCACTCTACACACCAGTGCTGTCCCTCATGCCACTCCACACACCAGTGCTGTCCCTCATGCCTCTCCACACACCAGTGCTGTCCCTCATGCCACTCCACACACCAGTGCTGTCCCTCATGCCACTCTACACACCAGTGCTGTCCCTCATGCCACTCTACACACCAGTGCTGTCCCTCATGCCACTCTACACACCAGTGCTGTCCCTCATGCCACTCTACACACCAGTGCTGTCCCTCATGCCACTCCACACACCAGTGCTGTCCCTCATGCCACTCCACACACCAGTGCTGTCCCTCATGCCACTCTACACACCAGTGCTGTCCCTCATGCCTCTCCACACACCAGTGCTGTCCCTCATGCCTCTCCACACACCAGTGCTGTCCCTCATGCCACTCCACACACCAGTGCTGTCCCTCATGCCACTCCACACACCAGTGCTGTCCCTCATGCCTCTCCACACACCAGTGCTGTCCCTCATGCCACTCTACACACCAGTGCTGTCCCTCATGCCACTCTACATACCAGTACAGTTTTTCATGCCACTCCACTCACCAGTCCATGACACTTATGCCACTCCAAACACCAAACGCTTTTTGATCCTTCGATGTCGGCTCTTCCTATCATTGTGAAGCAGAATTCACCAAGCGTTGGATTGTTCACCCACCAATAGGGAACGTGAGCTGGGGTTAGACCGTCGTGAGACAGGTTAGTTTTACCCTACTGTTTTATGTGCGGGATGTCACTGTGCGGGATGAGGTCTTAGATTGGCGAGACGTCACCAGTGGGGTCACGCAGGGTTCAGTCCTTGGACCCATACTGTTTCTGTTATATGTAAATGATCTTCCAGATGTTATAGAATCATTCCTCTCATTGTTTGCTGCTGATGATGAAAAAATTATGAGGATGATTAAGACGGAGCAAGACAGTATGAGACTACAAGATGACCTAGACACACAGCATGAATGGTTCAACAAATGGCTACTAAAGTTCAACCCGAGTAAATGTAAGATAATGAAAGTAGGAAGTGGAAACAGGAAGCCAGACACAGGATACAGAATGGGAGATGAAGACCTTCATGAAACTGACAGAGAGAAAGATCTAGGAGTTGATATCACACCAACCCTGTCTCCTGAAGCCCACTTAAAAAAAATAACATCTGCGGCTCAAGTGGTATCCTATCTCCTGGTTCACCACCTGATACTATTAACCTCCTCAAGTTGATCAAGCCTACATACACTGTTGCACTATCAGCGAGATAATGTATATATAGAAAACCAGCATTTGAATGCAATAACATATATCAGTATAAATGTTCATTGATACACAACAATGATTAATCGATCACTGTCAGTCCTCGAGCACATACATCTGTAGGTAATCAAGCCTACGACTGCAACTCTAAGCTTCAGAATAAATCACTCCTTGACATAAGAATGCAAACAGTCACTCACCTCTCACTGCGTCTTGCACGCTACTGACAACCAAACACTATCAACTCCCTATAAGTAATCCACCAGAACTTCCCCTTCCACCTCTGGAAGTTCACTACCCTAATATCCTTAGGTTCTTCCGGGCTTCACTACCAGGATCCTCTGCAGCTTCTCCAGGCTGCTATCATGAAGTTTCCTTGAGCAACTACGGTGCTTCACCCTTCTGCTAGGCTCCTCCACACAGCTCTCTTGGCTGCTACACCATGAAGTTTCCTCGAGCAACTATGGTGCTTCTCCACCTCTACAGAAGCATGTGACACTCCTCTTCACTGCTGCTTCTCCTCACAGCTCGAGGTCCTCTGCTCCACTACCTTGGAGTCTCATCAGCTACTTCATCTGCTGGCTTCGAAGTTCTCAGCAACTTCTTCCCCAAAGACAAACCTGCAACCCATCGACACTCCAATAAAATGTTCCCCTTTAACACAAACGAAAAATATTCACACAATATGTTTGCCTCAAACCTCTATCTGTTCTCTACATACAGTGAGAGTGGACTCCCCCGCTTTGGGCGGGTCCATACTCCACCTCGCCTGGCGGCGGTCCTCACTCGCTGGGAGGGTCTTCCTCCATCCGGAGCCAGGCTCCCTCAGTCGTCCGCCAGCGCTCAGAGGGGGCGGACGTCGCTCCGTGTTCCTCCCTCTCCACTCTCTTATTTCAGGCCTTCTGCCTTATTAAAACATGTCTAACTTATAAATAAACATCGATACTGTCGCTGGGCACACGACCAACTACAAGTGATCACTATGAACTGGCGTATATCGTGCTTACCACAGATTAACTGATCGAGGGCGCTTTTCCTCTGACGGCGTCTGGTCAGGGCGCTCCACACAGCCCACAATAATGCTTCTGGGCGATTTAATATCTGCTCGTCGACCAGGACTTGAGACCACAACGTTCCCAGCTCGATTCCACAGCTGGTACGTCCGCACACTTCTCTTCTCTTCGAGATATATCACTAGGGGTTCCCTTCTGGCGGGAGCTCAAACGGAGCGCGGCTTCCCCCTGCGATGTCTGGCACTCAAGTGAGGTCAAGGTCCTCCGGAAGCGAGCCTCACGCCTCCAGCAAAATGTCCACATCTCCTAGCCAGTCATTTATCTATTTCCTTACTTACTGCCCATAATCTTAAATTGTTTTACATATCCAACCAGCCATTTTTCATATGGGTTATCACCTCAATATTTGCTAGACCTTCTAGTTAGGTCAGGCTTGCTGAATAACTCTCAAGGAGGGAGACTCGTTTCTCCTGTAGGCTGAGATCATAACACTCCCCTCCCCTTATTTTTGAGAGTTATTCCAGTGGCAAAGCTCGGGATAATACATCCGCCACCACACTGTCTCGTTCTTCACCCCATATACTCTCTTAGGAGTCTACAATTAATTCGTTGCACCTTGCAACATCTGGCTCACAACGTGCCAGAAACATGATCTTCTCACAAACGATTTGACTTCTCTGGCACCTCTTGGCTAGGCTGTCCTCCTTGGACGCCTGCACTCTATCGGTCCACTCTACTTATTGTCTCCACCCTCCGTTTCCTCGTCTTCTTCTCTTCACGTCCAGAGTCAGACATCTACTGTCTGTACCTCCTCTGTCGTCTTCACACTTCCATCTACTGCCGTTATACTTTCGTCTCCTGTCATCATACTTCACTCCCTCGTCTTCACCGACGATCCTCCCTTTCGTCTCCTCATTTATCCGAGACCTCATCCTGTTTGACTTCCATCGAGTCCTCGGCTTTCTTCTATTCCTCCATGCTTGCATCATCATCCTCTTTTCACACTTTTCACTTCTATACCACTCCATTTCTTCTCCTTCAACTCTTCTTCGTTCCCTAAAAGTTTCTTCGAGCACTGCACTACATCCAACAGCACTCGACCATACATGTCGCTTTGCCTCTCCCAGAGTGCTCGTAAGCATCTCTCCACACATACTGTCTCTTCTCCTTTCATTTTCTCGGCTATTACTCTTCTTCACTATCTCTCCTCCACGTTTTCTGTGAAACATGTCAACTCTTGACATCTCAAACAACTTAACTCCACTATCCCTATGCCTCTGTGCTCGTGGACAACTTGACGCTCTACTCTCGTCCTCTGTATGTCCACATCCTTCCTCATTCCTACTCAGCACAGTTGCATTCGCCTTCCGACTCTTAATTTCAGCAGTCTGGGCTCTACTCAGGTCCGCTCTCTTCACAGTATTCTTCTTCGGCTGGGTCATCCTCACTTTTGACCTCACCGAGACTTCATTTGCCTGGGCTGGACCTTCATCAAACAGCCATGCTATATCTACGTCGATATCTTCTACCGGTTTAATCGACACTGTCTCATCTTCTCCAGCGTCTTCCTCGTCGGCCACCTCTGCCTTCGTCACTACCGAGACAGGGTTTTCAATGGCTTGGCGGTCTCCTGACTCATCTCCTCGGATGTCAGTCAGGTTCACACTCTCAGGTGTCCCACTCGTGCCGTGGCCTTCTGGGCTCTCCTCTGGCACAGTCTCCGCCATGACTCTTGTCAACACCTTAGTCCCACACAAGTCATTTCCCAGGATCACTTGGACTCCTGGAACAGGTATGTCGGGGCATACTCCCAACATCACCTCCGCCGACACATATTCCGACCTTAGCTGGACAGTACATACGGGCATGTCACTCTCAGACAATAACCCATATACTCTCATCTTACTCCTGCCAGCTAACCGTCGATCATTCCCAATCAGGCTTCTCGTAATCAAGCTCTGATTAGCTCCGGTATCTCTTAAGATACCAACTTCTACTTCAGGTTGGCTTCCTATCCTGATCCAACCTTTGCTCATGAACGGCCTATACCTCTCGTTCACTAAGTTCGCTCTCTGTGGTTTGTCTTGGAACACATTAGTATATTTACTTCGGGGGTCACACATGGCCAGGGTCACAACTCTCTTGCCCTGCCGACAATCTCGCATCACGTGACCCAATCCGTTACAATTGTAACATCTCATCTGGGAAAAGTCTCTTCTATATGTACCAGAGTAGCTCTGACTCTGCCCACTCGTATTGGAGTTCCTCGGGCCAGACGTACTACTTGTACTCTGTGGAGCTTTACTGGACTCTTGATTTCCCGGATACCGATCAGTTTCTCGTTTAGCTCCTCCATCCTCACTTTCAGACGAAGTGCGCGACCTACTCTTCTGAGTTTTAGGGTACTTACTTTTATCTGCCCATTTATCAAAATTTTTCTCACCCCAGACTCTTCTGGGTCTCTCATAATTTCTTCCTCCCCAGACTCCATTGGATCTGCCATTGCTGCGTCTCGCCTCGCTTCTCACTCTGTTCTCCCTCAAGCTCTTGTATGCTTCAGTAATCATATCCGCCCTATCTGCGGCATCTTTCACCTCCATTATCCCTGCTTCTTGGATCTTGAACTTTGTTTCGGGATGCATCATCTCCAAGAACTTCTCCATGACCATCAGTTGCTTCAGGTCAGCGTAAGATCCAACTCCAGCAGCCTCAATCCACTTCTGGAATCGTCTTTCCAGATCTCTTGCTGTCTCAGCAAACGTACATGCTCCAACTTTGATCATCTCTCTGAAGCGCTTCCTATAAGCTTCTGGGGTTAACTGAAACGAGCGCAATATGCTGCTCTTTACTGTGGCATAATCCTGGCACTCTTCCAGTGACAATTGGGTGTATGCCTCCCTGGCTGCACCGGTCAATCTTAACTGGACCAGCTGGGCCCATTCCTCCTGTGGCCACTCCTTGATGCTGGCTACTTTCTCAAAATGCTCGAAGAAGCTCTCTGCCTCTTCGGGAACAAACAAGGGAATGTCCTTCTCCCTAACCCTAACATCTGGTGGGTGTGATACCTGGGTGGTGCTCTCTGGCAACCCATGTTCAATCCTTTGCTCAGCCAAGGTTCTATTCGCTTCTATCTGCATTTGTTTTGTTCTCTCTTTTTCTTTTTCGACCTGGGCTTTTTCTTTTCGACCTGGGCTTTTTCTTTTTCCTGTTCCAACTCCAGTTCTCTTACTCTGGTTTTCTCTTTTTCTTTCTCCACCTCTAGTCTTGCTTTCTCTTTTTCTCCTTTCCAGTCTGGTCTTTTTCTTTTTCCTTCTCAGCTTCATTTTTCATCTGGAGTTCTAATTTCATCTTTTCCAGCTGGAACT